TGATAGGCAGTCTCCCTAGCCTAATGATAGGCAAGGCCGAGGGGAGTTGTACACCCTTCGGTATTTACTCCCATTGTTGTGTGCGGTTTCGACCTTCAATGGCTAATGATAGATGTGCACATGAGTAAAAGGTTATGATTAGGAGATGTGATATTTGAATGATTCGTGTTCATGCTGCGACCATACTTATCTGTCTTAATACATTATTTATTGCATAGCGGTGAGCACTACTTTTTCCAACTGTGCTCATCCCCACCTGAAATTCACGTTTCAGATTAAGCAAGGCGGGCACGACGGCAGGATGGCGAGTGGATGGTCATATTTACATTATTTGCTTCCGCTTTATTTTGAATAAGTTAACCCGAACTGATGAACTTAGAAATGTTGGGTTATGAACATGTTATTTCATTTCAGACCATGTCGTTGAAATTATGTTGATTGGTTCTTTTCATGGAACTATGTTTGGGTATTCATATTGAATGTGTCATTTGGATATCATGTGAACTGTTGATTTTAGGACAATGAAGTCCATGTGAAAAACCGGGTAATATATACCCGTGAGGTTTCAAATATGAATTGAAATCAAGATAATGCCCTAATGTTATGGATTATGAAAAATGAATTTCGAAAATGTAAACTTGATTTTGGATAAGCCATGGATTATTTCTTAAATCAAAGTGGGGTGTTACACTGTCTGTAGGAATCTGATTCTAGTGAGTTTTTACTTACTGTTTTAGATTTTCGCTGCTGTTATTTCAGCGTGCCCTTTGATTTTATTTCCTGAGTGTGGACGTCAATTTGTTCTTCGTAATGTGTATGCGAGGCCTCCACTCTCCTTCACCGTTTGTTGGTGACGCCGTGTTTCAGAGGAAGTGCTCTCTTTTCAGCTTTTGGTTTTTATTCTTTTTTGGATACATTATTAGCTTCTATTTGGTACCCATAGATAGAGCTAATTATTAATGTGATGCATATTCTTTATTTTGAGCCAGGTTTTTTGTGTTGATTGAGTAATTTAAATTTAAGTAAATAACTTGGTGTGCCCCATGGTTTTAATTGATGGAAATTAAGCAGCTTAGACGATAATATGTTCAAAATCATCATCCCCTTTTTTCTGTGCATCTCACTTGTGTTTAGGTATTGCCATTTAAGATTCAAATCTTAATCTGGTCGCAATCAACTGTTAGGTTTGTGCAATTTTCCCAATTCGAGTGAGATTAGGATGAAACTAAAACTGATGTCCTTTGGCCCTTTCACTTCACTTGCGTTCAGCAATGCTACTTTGGTACAAAAAAGACGATGCACTGCTTTCGTCACACAGACCTTAAGAAGAATTGATGAAGCTCCTCCATTGATGAACCTGTGAGTGTTGGACACTTGATGAAGCTCCTCCATTGCAGACGCTATTTAACATATTCCCCCCACCATCATCAACCCACACCATCCCAACTCATTTACCTCTGCCGAGAGGGATCTGTCACCCATGCCATCACTCTCCACAACCTCATAACAAACTCGACCCAAGATGACATCATCATCTCCAAGCCTGTCGCGTACGCCATGGGCGTCCACGCGTGCACCAAGTCCTTCCGCTATTCCGTCGGCATCCAATTCCACTGCCACGTCATCAAGTCCGGCCTCTCCACCGACCGCTTCATGGGGAACAGCCTCCTGGCCCTCTACCTCAAGCTGGGCCCAAAACACAATCTCAAAGAGGCCCAAACTCTTTTCGATGGGCTGGCCCACAAAGACGTCGTCTCGTGGAGCTCCATGGTTTCGGGCTACATCCGCGCGGGCCAACCCTATGACGCCATCCGTCTGTACCTCGACATGTTGGGCTCCGGCGTGGGGCCCAACGCCTTCACCCTCTCCGCCGTGGTCAAGGCGTGCTCGGAAATCGGGTGTCTCGAGCTCGGGAGAGCCCTGCATGGAGCTGTGGTCAGGTGTGGGCTGGTGCGTAATGAGGTTGTCGTGGCAGCGCTGATCGACATGTACGGGAGGAGCCGAGTCTCGGCTGGGTGCCTTCGGCTGTTTGACGAGATTGCCGATCCGGATGCCGTTTGTTGTACCTCGATTATCTCGGCACTCACAAAGTGCGACTTGTACAATGAGGCGCTCGGGATGTTTTATCGAATGATGAGGAAATATGGGTTTGGCCCGGATTGTTTCACGTTCGGGAGTGCCTTGACGGCCTTGGGGAATCTCGGGAGGTCGAGGCAGGGGAAAGAGGTGCACGCTTGTGTTGTTACGGGTGGCTTCCAGGGAAATGTGTTTGTCGGGAGCAGTTTGGTCGACATGTACGCCAAGTGTGGGATGGTGGAGGAGTCAAGGCTCGTTTTTGACAGGATGGAGAGGAAAAACTCGGTTTCGTGGTGTGCCTTGCTTGGGGGCTACTGCAGGTAGGCTTGTAAACAAATCAATTTCTTTTTTTATTCGATTTGATATTCGAATTTGAATTACTCGAATTCGAATAATATTCGGAAGTTAAACGGATCCGAATTCGAAGTTGTAGATATTCGATTCGAAATATTGATATTCAATTCGTTAACGATAATTATATAAATTTTATAAATTATATGTAGTAAAAATTTTGTTTATAATATATAAATATATTGTTATGTTCCTAATATTTTTATGACATAAAAAGTAAAAACATTCCAAAATAATAATTTGCCCTAAAAACATCTCAAATTGGATTGGAAAAAAAAAACAATATTTTTGTAATTGTAATCTTTTTTTTTTAATTGTATTAGTTTTCTGAAAATGAATTTCGAATCGAATCGAATATGTTCTAATATTCCAAATTAATCGAATACGAATAAAAAAAATGAGTTCGTTTATAAATCGAATACGAATTTGAAATCCTCGAATGTTTTAACGAATCCGAATCGAATATCTTAATATTCGCTTTGACTCGATTCGTTTTACAACCCTAACTGCAGGGAGGGAAAATTCGAGGCGGTTGTTGATTTATTCAGACGGGATGTGGAGAAGGATAGGTACAGCTTTGGAACCGTCTTGCGCGCGTGTGCTGGCCTATCTGCAGATAAGCCCGGGACAGAGGTGCACTGTCAGTACTTAAGAAGGAGTGGGTGGCGGGACGTGGTAGTTGAGTCGGCACTAGTTGATTTGTATGCCAAATGCGGGCGTGTTAATTTTGCCCAAAGGGTTTTCGAGAGAATGGCGGTGAAAAATCTGATTACTTGGAACTCAATGATTGGTGGGCTCGCCCAGAATGGGATGGGCAAGGAAGCTGTTGTGATGTTCGACAGAATGGTTCTTGAAGGGGTCAAACCGGACTACATAAGTTTTGTGGAGGTTTTATCTGCCTGCAGCCATAGTGGACTTGTGAGGCAAGGGAGGGAGTATTTTGTGTCGATGTATGAGGATTATGGGGTGAAAGCTGGGATCGAGCATTATAGTTGCATGGTGGATATTTTGGGTAGGGCGGGTGAGATAGTAGAGGCCGAGGGTTTGATTATGAAGGGAGAGTTTGAAAGTGAGCCTTCTTTGTGGGCTAACCTTCTTGGTGCATGTTGTGGGGCTGCTACAGATCCTGCTGTGGCAGAACGTGTTGCGAAGAAGATGGTGAGATTGAGACCCGATTACCACTTGAGCTACGTGCTCTTGGCCAATGTGTATAGGGCGGCTGGGCGGTGGAAGGATTCGGAAAAGACGTGGAGCCTTATGCATAAGAGAGAGATCAGAAAGTTGCCTGGGAAGAGCTGGGTGGATAGAAGCAGCTCTGGTTTACTAAGAGGATTATGAGTTGAGGATTTCTTTTTGTTTCTTCTTTGAATTTCAGTTCTGGTTCCGATTTTTTTTCGGCGATTTTGCTATGAGCGCAACCCCATGGACAGTCTATTAACTCGACACATGCCTCTGCTGCATTTCAGATCTTCAGTATCTTCTTGGACGTGATCTTTGATTTTTTTTTTTTTAAAATCAAACAGCGGCAAACTGCTCGTTTATGATAACTTATGGCGAAAGACACAATCTGTGTTCTAAAATTCTAAAATTCAGGCTAGGCAGCACTCGGGCACCCCAATTCTAAAATTCCAAAATTCCAGTACGAGGCCTGATTGGTTCAGGGAGTTCAGGGATCAGATTCGATTGCATTCGCAGGTTAGTTTGGTCCTGTAAATGCACAATGTTTTAGGGCTTTTCAGCTTATATATGCTTAACAATCTTATTCTTCTTAATATTCTAGTTTTCCAATTGGAACCAATCTATCATTGAACTCTTACAGTTTGGTTTAAGGTTCTGTTTTTTTAAATTTGTTGCAATAAGATACTCACTCATCTTCTGGTGTTCTTTCTGTCTTACAGCCTGCTTGAGTCCCTCAATTTTTGCTGAACAGAAACCACACATGGACACAGCTTATTGTTTATCAGTTATAACATACTTTGCTTTGAATATAGCAATGGATATCAATATTCAATGTTATTTTGGCTGGTACCTTGGTGAATATTGTCATCGCCCGCCGTCTCCTACTGGTGAAAAGGGACCAGGTGTAGGAAAGGTTGGTTACTAGGCAACTTGTTTCTATTCATTTTTATTTTTTTTTTTCATTTTTTTCATTTTGGTTGTCTAGAAGGCCAGTTCACAATATAGATCCTGGTTTTCAATTTATTCTTCCTTTCATTCTCATTACAGTGCAATTTTTTTTCCTTGTAGGATTTCTTGGAATATGCAGATGTTGAAAGTGCTTTTACAAATGGTCGCCCCATATTGTCACAATTATCAATCCAGCGAATTAAATTTTCTCAGGGAGAGTATGATAGCTAAGACAGTGAACGCGGTTGTACATTGTTCTCTTAACTAAGAGTTTTGGAGGCGGAGACATCCCTAAAATCGATATCTCAATACTTTTTTACTTGTGTTCATGCTTCTCTTGATCTTTGTGCAATATAGTCCTTGTTTCTACTTTCTAGGGACAAAAATGCCCTAAATGTGAAAATTGTGTTCACTTGAAATTACACTATTTATCCGGTCTGCCTTGTGGTTGCTTTGTTGCTGTGGCTGAAATTATGGGTGTAGTATTAATATATATAATCTGTTGAGTTTACAAAGCTGCTCAATCAATTTTCAAAATTTGCATGTACAGTGTGGTACACGTTGTAGGTTTCTAAAGTAGTGTTGTTCACCTCAGGACAAAGCATTGAGTCTATCTCAAACATACGATAAACCTTGAACACACTTTTCTTCGTATTCTTTACCCCACCACAACCACACATTAACAATGAAACGGAAAACTAAGAATAACAAGTCCCTGACGTGTCGATATATACGTTATCAATTTTTTCCTTATTGATTATTCAGTCCAAGAGAAAAGAT